CCACCATCACGGTCGTCGTCGTCGTCCAACCATCACCACCACTGCCACCGTCATCGATCTATACTGCACCGTCACAAATCCACCACCATCATTCACCAACCACATCAACCATCATCAATCTACATTCTACATCTTCGATCTCCACTCTATCATCGCTGATCCATCGATTTAGTTCTAGATCTACATTGATCTAGTTGTTTCAATGGTGAAATCAACTCCAAATGACTCTAAACAACAATATTCCCTCTCTCTCTCTCTCTCTCTCTCTCTCTCTCTATCTCTCTTTGTTTTTAAAAACAAATCTATAGTAAATTTATTTTTCAGCGATAAATTTATCAGGTTTTGATTGTGTATATGTATGTAGGATGAAAGAGTCTGGTGAGTAAGTGAATAGAAGTATGAATGAGAACAACTAAATGTAGTTTTTTTTTTTTTTCTTTCTCCCAAATCACTCAGTGATAAATTTATCATTAAATGTATTTTTAGGTTTTTTTCTCAGTGATAAATTTATCAGTCTCTATTGTTTTCTATATTTGTGTGAGAGGATGGTGAATTCTTGTAAGTCAGTGAACATGAGAAAGCGAGTGAATCAAATTTATTTGTATTATTTTTAAAAATCTTTCTCTCTTTGTTTTTAAAAACAAATCTATTGTAAATTTATTTTTCAGCGATAAATTTATCAGGTTTTGATTGTGTATATGTATGTAGGATGAAAGAGTCTGGTGAGTAAGTGAATAGAAGTATGAATGAGAACAACTAAATGTAGTTTTTTTTTTTTTTCTTTCTCCCAAATCACTCAGTGATAAATTTATCATTAAATGTATTTTTAGGTTTTTTTCTCAGTGATAAATTTATCAGTCTCTATTGTTTTCTATATTTGTGTGAGAGGATGGTGAATTCTTGTAAGTCGGTGAACATGAGTAAGAGAGTGAATCAAATTTATTTGTAATATTTTTAAAAATCAATCAGCGATAAATTTATCATTGAATGTGTTTCTAATAAATTTATTAGATTAGTTTGGGTTATATATGTCTATGTGGTTGCATTTTTTAGATAAATAAGTATATAAATAAATGACAGTAAGTGTATGTGTGTAAATATGTGTGTAAATATGACCGAGTCGTAGAGATGGTGACAGTAGCAATGTAGTGGTGATAGACATTATTTTTGTTGACACAATTCAAAGATATTGTCATAAATTATTGCCAGAGGTGGTCACCGGTGCTTGAGGTGACCACCAGTGATTAGAGGTGGTTGTTGACGAAAGAGAAGAGTCATAATAGTGTTGATAATAGAGATGAAGAAAGTAAATGAATGGTATTTTAAAGACATTGATAAGTCAAAAAAAGAACAGAATTTACAGATAAATAAATCTTCTCAATAGACTAGTTGTAAATCTTCCAAAATGGTTTTGTCTTCCATCAATAAAATAGCCTGTCCAGTAGCCAAAAAATGTTTTGCCTTCCATGACATTAGGATGGGCCCACCCAATGGTCCAAAAAAGCATTACCTGTTATGCATAAACAAAAGCTCACTTGGCCCAAGTGAGATTATTATATTATTTTTTCAGAAATTTCAAGTTAGTGATGTGGCCAACTAATAGTAAGGATTTAATAATTATATAAAATCAAAAAATATATATATATATAACAGAAGAATGACAATGCATTATTTGATGTGCACACGGTCACGTGATATTCTTGATCCATATGACACAATGCATTTTTTAATGTGCATATTCTTGATCCATATGACACAATGCATTATTTAATGCGCATATGGCCACGTGATATTCTTGACTCATATGATAATTTTTGAACCAACAAGTGGCTTATTGCGTGCTTAAAATTCGAAGTTTCTAAAAGCTCAAGTTAAAGCCTTTCAAGAACATTTAAAATAACTTACCCAAAAAACAAAACATTTAAAATAACTTACCCAAAAAACAAAACATTTAAAATAACTGAGATCAAAGCCTAAAATTTTTAGAAAATATCAAATTAGTGATATTTTAAAAAACATAATTACAAAAAATAATAAATTTTATGAACATTAATAATTAAAATCTTAAAATTTTTCATGAGTATGTATAGTTATTTTTTGAAAGTTTCACCGGGGTATGATTACCCCTCAAATTTTTACCAAATGAAGAGGATCCCCTTCGCTCCAAATTTTGGACTGGAGAGTGTTGTTTGGGTCTGTGAGACTCACTACAGATTCCGTTTCGATGATCCAAACCATTCATTTTGTCGAGCACTCCGTGTATTTCATCCACACAAAAATTTAGGTCGATCTGATAACTTTAACTTATTCAATTTATTGTGTTTGTCACTAAAAAATATATGATTTATTTTTAAAAACACAATTATTGTCTATTTTTTAAGTGAAAAATTGAACAAATTACAATTACTGGATCGACTTAATTTTTTTTATCGATGAAATACACAAAATGTATGACAAAATGAACGGTTTTGATTATTGAAAGGGGATCCGTGGTGGGCTCTACGGACCTAAACAGCAAATCTAAACTGAAGAGGATCCTCCTCTTTTATGAAATTAATCCTATCATTGGAAATTTAGCTTTTCTTAAAGCTATGGACAAATTTAAATTGACTTTTAAATTTGTAAAAAAAAAAAATCAAACCAAATCAAAACCTAATTTGAAATTGAAAACTACGGTTGACTTGATTCTGATCAAATTTGTTTTCAGTTCCATTCGAACTTGCCGACTTGGATACATAGAGAACCCATTCCTATTGAATGCAGTCATATAATTTTATAATTTGATTTAGATTTTACTGTAATTTTTATTATTTTCATTTAAATAATTTGGTCATTACACTTCTGATTCATTTTCAGAATGGCCAATCTTTGACTTAAAAATAGGAAAAGTTAGACCTCGTTTGGCAAGTTAATATTTTAGTCAAAAAGTCAAAAAATTATTAAAAAAGCCAAAAAGCCTTATAACCTATACCAAAAAGTCAAAAATTCTCTTTTTTCTATACTTTTTGCATATCTTTTCGTAAAAAGTCAAAAAGTTACTAAAATAACCTATTCTCAAACGAGGCCGTATACTTATTGTCTAATAGATCCTATAATAATTAATGATATTTTTCATCATACACTAATAAAAACGTCACTAATTATTAATTTTCAATAATAGTTTGAAAATTGTCACAAAAAATATCATTGACTATAAATTTTAGTGATAGTTTAAAAAAAATATCACAAAAAAAGTTATTAATTTTTAAGTTTCAGTGATAGTTTGAAAAATTCGTCACAAAAAAATCACTAATTGTAAGTTTTAACGACAATTCATAAAAACCGTGACAAAAAAAAAAGTCACTAATTGTCAATTTTTATGCAAAACGTCATAAAAAATTATTTTTAGCAATGATTATCCAATAGATCATATGATAATTATGACATTTTTCATCATATACTATTAAAAAAATCACTAATTGTTATTTTTCAGCGACAGTTTGAAAATTGTCATAAAAATGTCTTTAATTTTAAATTTTAGCAACAATTTAAAAAAATCATCACAAAAAAAGTTACTAATTTTCAACTTTTACCGACAGTTTGAAAATTCGTCACAAAAAAAATCACTAATTGTAAGTTTTAACGACAATTTATAAAAACCGCGATAAAAAAAATTACTGATTATTTATTTTTATGCAAAACGTCACAAAAAATTATTTTTAGCAACGATTGTATTAGACCTTATTTTCAGTAGGACTTAATAAGAATTAAATCCAACTATTAAGACCTATCGGTAAGTATCATGATATCAATTGTAAGGATGGACCTATCTAAAATATAATAATTATAAGGATGGACAAATTTATAAGAATGAAACAGATATACGATGAGAGAAACCCACCTTGAATACCTTAATGTTCCAATGTTTTGATTTCCTATTCTTGAAATCAAATTCAGATATGACCCGTGGCGGTAGACTAGACCACCGTCCTTCTGCATGATTGGTTGCTTTTGATCCACATCACCTGTTTGTGCCACCTAGACATCCACATCAGCTTCATCTTCTTCCTATTAGGTAACTTCCTCTTCTTCCATGCTCCCACTGGTCCCACCACATGAAGTGTTTAGTATTGATTCAAACTCAGTAATATTGTTATAAAAATTAACAATATATATATATATATTTTACACACCGATGCGGCACCTATTATGTTAGGGCAATACTATATTAACAAAATTTGTGGAAAAAAAAAAAATCAATACATAATGATTTATTTTATTTATATCTATATTTATTAAAATTATTAAAAGTCAAAATAGCCATTATTATGATATATAATTACAAGAATACTGTGTTATTTTGGTCTTAACAAGTAATGATAAATAATGTTCTCAAAAAAGTAATAGTAAATAAAAAAACTATACGAAATGACGAATAGAGCATTACCACATCATTCTTGTGATTGCGTTATACTTCGTATGAAAGATTTTTCCCTTCAATTTTTGTATATAATGTACAGATATCATTATTGAAGTAGGTCTTATTTTCAAAACTTTATTATTACATAACACATCAGTAAAATTTTTATATAAAATTTGTTAGTTAGTACTATATATATATATATATTTAACAGGATGTTACCTCTGTTAGGTTGGGCAAGCCTAGGCCTTTTGATATTGGGACAGTCCTCTTCCTGAAAGTCGCCACTTCCACTAGGTCTTCTCTTTAACGGAGCATTATTAGCGTTTTCAACTCCTTGGGACACCACAATCAAATTGTCATCTTGGGATGCTTGATGATCATTCCTTTCAAAATCTTCTTTGCAAACCCAACGAACCCCACATTTTTGAACAACAGTTTCCCGAGAATTCCATTCAACTTCAATTTCTTCACAAAAATCCCATTCAACTTTAAATTCTTCACCCTCATTTAAATTCTCCACCTGGTTGAACCACTTTGGGATGTCACTTCCAGGAAATATAATTCTAAATTCGTGTATATCACGCGAAATACTTCCCTGTACAACGAAGATTGGTCACAATGTATTGTGCTTAAACCAGAGAGAGAGAGAGAGAGAGAGAGAGAGAGAGAGTACCTGAAATAGATTTGAAATGAATTCATCTGTTAGGACATTGCTTTCCTTATTTTCAACCAATTTGAAGCAATTCAAAAAATCAAATATTTCAATGTCTTTGTATAAGAATGGACTCGCTATTTTTCTTAATGATTTGCAATGACGTGCCACTATAACACTAATGTCTGAAGAAAGCTCTGGCAATTCTTGAAGCATTTTGCAATTGGACAAATATATCTCCTCCAGCAATTTAAGTTGGCTCATGCTTGAAGGTAAACTTTCAAAATCGTTTCCCTCTAGATCTAATACTGTCAAATAGCGGAGCCGACAAATTGAAGACGGGAGTTGTGTAATCCTTGTATAGTCTGCATTAAGTTTCTCTAAACTGACTAGATCACCAACTTCTTCAGGCAGTTTCTCAAGTTTTGAGCACCCACGGAGCATTAAACTTTTAAGAGCTTTTAACTGACCAATGTTGTTTGGAATACTTGTCAAGTTTTTACAACGTCCCAGATCCAAGCTTTTAAGATTGGTAAGATGTCCAACTGGTAATGGCAGTTCAGATATACTGGACCCGACTAATGCAAGCCTTTGTAAACATTTGGTATGTTCAAAGCTTCCCAACATGTTTAGTTTTAAACACCCACATGCATAAATAGTTTGAAGAGACTCCAATTGATTGCCACTTGGAAGACTCTCAAGATTTACGCAGCCACTCAACTCGATGCGAACAAGCCTTCTGAGAGATCCAATGGATGGATGAAGATTAACCAAATTTGTACAACCTTCAAGATATAGGCTTTCAAGATTTGGAAACTTTTCGAACTCTGGGGTCATGGTTAGAGATTCTGAGTAACTGAGATTCATGGTCCTTAAGTTGTATAGAACCTGTTGAGGAAATAAAATATATATATGTATATATATGTTGTTATGGAATTCACATATTATTTGGAGTAAACAAAATGCAAAATTATACCTCTGTTCCCATCCATAGTTGTTCAATGTTGCTAAAAGTTATGTGAAGTTCAACAAGACACATTGGTCGAAATTCTGAAGGCAAACATCTCAAAGGGTATCCACGCCAATCAAGATACCTTAAATTGTTAGGAAGAAATTTGAGGTCTATAGAACGGAGAAAACAATGAATTATGAGAATTCTTAGGCTCCTCATCTTTGCAAAAGCTTTACCTCTCAACTTCAACTCTTCTGGAAACCCAAAATCCTTTGGATCACGATTTCCTAGGTCAGGATACTTCATAACTATGCCTTCCAGCTTTTCTGTTCCCTAATAACCACAAGTAAATAACAAGACACAAAATTGAAGGATAACAAAATTATGCAGAACTTTTCTTAAATATGTTTAAAATGTTCATGCTTTTCTGTAAAATCTCTTACCGTATCATTCATCAGTACGTGTTTTATATCTTCATAAAGCCACAACCTACTGCGTTGTCCAGGCTCTTTAGGTGATTCTTGGCGAACAATATTTCTCCCCATTTCTTGTATCAAATCATGCATAAACAGCCTACCGTGTGAAATAATTATCAGTGACTTTTCAACTAGAAGCTCTATTGCGATAGTGGGTTGGAAGCCAAAACTTTCTAGGATTTTTGTTACATCATTTATGTATTTCTGTTTGAAAAAAAATGCAATATCTAGGAATATTTCCTTATCTTCCCAACCCAATGCATCGTAACTTATTTTGAGTACTTCTTCAACTCCTGGAAGAGGACTTCGTTCTAATCTTTTTAAAGCACTTTCCCAGTAAATTTCTTTTCGATCATGAAGAAAAGAACCCAAAACTTTGAGAGCTAAAGGAACTCCTTTACAGTACTCCACTGCACGATCTAGGAGGTTTCCATAACCTCCTATTTGCTTGTCTTTTCTAAAGGCTTTTGATATAAGGAGTTTAACAGCTTCATCTTTTTTTAATTCATGAACCTTATATGTATGTGTTGCGCCACATGTGTTTAACACATGCAAATCTCTAGTTGTTATAATGATTTTACTTCCAGAACTGAACCAATCATGCTCTCCAAGCAGGTTTTCCAAGTCTATCGATTCATCCACGTCATCAAGAACAATGAGAACCTTTTTACGACTTATAATCCTCTTTATCATACTTTTTCCACTACTGATGCTGCTTACTTTTCGATCTTTCTCTATCAAGATTTTAGAAACGAGTTGTTCTTGAAGAAACGTTATACTACGTTCTTTTGAAACAGCTCTAACATTCTCAATGAAGCAGCAACCATCAAATTGCCAAGAGATACGGTCATAAACAACTTGAGCAATAGTTGTCTTACCTATTCCACCCATTCCCCATATCCCAACGATACGAGCATCATCATTCCCTAAACCTAGCAATTTTATCAATTCCTCCATATGAGAATCCATTCCAACTAGGCCTTCATCAACACTTGAATACACATTTAAATAATCAAAAATTTTCTCAACAATTTCTTCGATAAGCTTTGATTCAGACCTGTTGATTGAGAAGAACAATAAAAGAAAATTCATGAATCAGAACTCAAACAAAGAAAAGTGAGTTAATTTTGCTCATTTCATTTCAAATATTTTGGGAGGGAAATCATATTCTAAGAAAAGGATCTGGGATAGGTAGTGTGGACAATTTTCTTATAACAAAAACTTGGTCTTGGGAATGTGTTTGAATTGGGCTTGGCAGATTAGATAAAGTGCTGAAAATGTTTAAGTTGAATAATCAAATCAACAATTGCAGACATTGCTCCATTACCCTCACAAGTATATTTTCATTTCCTATACAATAATATTTAGGACACTTGTGTTTTCATAGGCAGTGCATTCACAAGTTCAGTCCAACTCTTCAACTTTTCAACTTTCAAAATTTCCCAATTTTCCGCTACTAGAACGAAGTATTTCTAAACCTATCCTACGCATCCTTGGCATGTGTGACACCGGCCCTTCTAAATCAACAAAACCCGAACTATATATGGACCTAATTCCAACTGTAGATACGTAGGCACAGAGTAAGCCAGGTTCAACTTTCAATTACCATCTGCAGATTTGGACAGCAATGTTTTATAAACCTATGCAATTGCAAACTGAATTTACCACAATTCAAAAACATAATAATAACAACAATAACATAATTAATATGTTGGGATTAAAATTGATCCACAATCAGAGAATTTAAGTAGCAAAAGGTGCAGTAAGGTGCCTAACACCTCCCTTACTCCTAACCGTAAACTCCTGATCCTGACTCTTGTTTCTTAGACCAAAATTTGGAATCATACATTTTGAGTAAGTGTTTTCACATAAAGGGATTAGTAAATCCAGAACCTTATAAAATTATTATATTTTCATTTTTCACTAAACAATTTCATTTTTCTTAAATTTGCGACTTTTTCAACTGGATAAATGCTTCCACTTTGATCCAAATTCTAATGAAAATTATACCTTTATAACAAAAATAGTGTAAATTACACTTTGTCCCCCAAAGTATGGTCATTTTCCCACTTTGGTCTTTAAAGAAAAAGGATTTCCCACTTTGATCCCCAACCCCAAAAAAATTGTCTAACTTAAATAAATAAAATAAATAGTTTCTCCCAATTACAACTTATTACATCATCCACCTCTGGCCTAGTCTTCAGAATGCCTTGGATACTAAATTGAGATTCAGTACAACTTTTCACGCCCAAACTGACGAACAATCGGAAAGGACAATCCAAACTTTAGAAGACATGTTAAGAGCCCATGTCCTAGATTTTCGAGGTAATTGGAATGAACACATTAATAGAATTTCCATATAATAATAGTCATCAGTCAAGTATTAGAATGGCTCCATACAACATTTTGAAAAGCGATTGCGGTCGCCGTAACGATTGCAGTGATGCGGTAGCGATTGTGGGGTGTAAAGGCTGTAGTGTAACAGTTGACAGTTGCGGTAACCGGAACTGTGATATTTATTTATTTATTTATTTTTTTCACACGATTTGAAGAAAACTTACCAATACGTATTTTTTAATTTTTTTTTCTTCCAAAATCACATTTATTGAGATTTAAAATACATTTTGATCAATTTTTTTTTTTAATTTTTAAGTATGACCCAATATATTTCATATTTTCAAATCACTATAAAAGAAACTTTTTATATTTTATTTTATTAGTTAATGATTTTAAGAATAATTGATTTTAAATAGCTATAAATTATTTTTTACCAATACTTGAACTAACTGAATTAAAAAATATTCACGATTACTAAATGAAATGATTATAAAATAAATATTGTGCCATAAATTTTTAAAATAAAAATCATAAAGAAAAAAATTCATGTAAGATTTTTTCTTTAGGCTTGGATCACTTGAGTATTTGTTCTTTTTTTGTAAGCTTTTGTTTTTTTGTTTTTTTGTTTTTTTTTGTTGAGAAAATTAGACTATTCAGAATATTATAAAAGGGTGTAATGGTGTCTAATGGACCGTTACGATATCACTACGGCTGTTATGTAACATCGAAACGGCTGTTACACATGTGAATTTCCATCACACCGCTATAGCGGCTATAATCAGCTAACTAAATAAAATTATTTACAATTAAGTATTAAATGAAATGATTATAAAAATAAAAATTGTGCCATGAACAAAAATTATTTTTGAGCTACTGATTTTAATTTTTAAAGACATTTTTTAGACAACACATTAACAAAATAAAAAATATTAAATAAAATGATTATAAAAATAAATGCAACCATTGTTTATATATTTTTTATTTTACATGCTAATGTAATGAAATAAAAATTTAAAAAAAAATCATATAAGATTTTTTCTTTGGGTTTAGATTACTTGAGTATTTGTTCTTTTTTTTGTAAGCTTTTATTATTATTATTTTTTTTTGGAAAGGAAACTATTTAGAATATTGTAAAAGGGTGTAACGGTGTGTAATGGACCGTTACAGCTGTTACGGTATCGCTACAGCCGATACGTAACACCGAAACAGCCATCACATGTGAATTTCTGTCGCATTGCTATAGCGGCCGTAACAGGTGGCGATAACCACCACAACCGCTACGTAACGGTTGCGGCCGCTTTTTAAAACCTTGGCTCCATATGAAGCCTCATATGGGAGGAGATGCAGACCTATGAGCAAGGTTTTAAAAAGCGGCCGCAACCGTTACGTAATGGCATTACGTAACAGTTGTGGTAGTTACCGCCACCCGTTACGACCGCTTTTGCAATGTGATTGAGATTCACAGGTGTGTCAGGCGTAGCGGCTGCTATAGCGGTTGTAACGGTGCCGTAATGGCCGTAACGGCTTGTTACGCACCGTTACGTAACAGTTTCGAATTGCTTCTTTCGAAAAAACACAAAAAAAAAAAGGTTGAAAATGGGGGAAGAGAGATAGAGAGAGAAGAGGGAAGATGAAAAATATGTTATTGATTTGTTGAAGCTGTAAGACCTATGCTATTCTATTCAACTACTATCACTCAACCATTTTGTTTGTCTGTGTCTATCTATATATTGTTTGAAAATAATAATATAAGTGTGGTCATTATCTATTTGGCTTGATTAAAATATATATATATATATATATATATTTAGGCTTTTATTTATTCTTTTACTTTTGTCATTGTTTATCTTATATATAATAGTTAGTGATTGATTTTTTGTATAATATAAAGACATTAATTATTAAAATAAAATGTAAAAAACTCAGTTTATAGTGATTTAAAAATATGAAATATATTGGATCAAACTTAAAAATTTATAAAAATTGATCAATATTTATTTTAAAACCCAATAAATATGATCATGGAAAAAAAATGTGCATATCGGTAAGTTTTTTTCAAATTGTGCAAAAAATAAAAAAATTCACGGTTCCGGTTACCGCAACCGCAACCATGCCACCGCTACCGTTACGGCAACCGCAACCGCTTTTCAGAACCTTGCCTATGAGGTTAGAGAGAGAATTGTTGGGGCCAAAGATTGTTCAAATTACTATCAATAACGTGCAAATTTTTCGAGAAAGGTTGAAGGCGGCTAAAAGTAGACAAAAGGGTTGTTTTGGGAAGATGGTAAAAAGTAACTTTTTGGCTTTTAACCAAACTTTTGGCATTTTTAGACAAATGATTTGGGAAGTTGGTAAAAAGTGACTTTTGACTTTTTTGATTAATGTTTGTTTATGATGTCAAATCATAATAAAATGACCAAACTACTCCCATTTATTTAAAATATTTACAACTTCACCTATGTCACACATTTTGACTCATGAGGGGTAAAATTGTAATTTCACCGTTGGCTAAAAACCAACTTCCCAAATGAAAAAAAAAAGACAAAAAAGCCAACTTTTGACTTTTGCTACAAACCAAAAAAAGTGGCTAAAAGCCAACTTCCCAAAATAGCCCGAAAGAGCTATGCAGATAATCGGAGGAGAGATTGAAATTTCAGGTTGGGGATCATGTGTTTTTACGAATCTCGCCATGGAAGGGAGTGATGCGATTTGGTAAGAAAGGCAAACCATGTCCAAGGTATATTGGGCCATTTGAGATACTAAAGTGCATTGGCAAGACAGCTTATCATTTGGCTTTACCACCTAGTCTATCTTGCATTCACGATGTGTTCCATGTATCCACACTGAAGAAGTACATGCTTGACCCATCACATGTGCTAGATTTTCAACTAATCCGACTTAGGGATGATTTGTCTTAAGAAGAGGAAGTCGTAGAGATTGTGGACAGGAGGGATCAAGTATTGACTTCTAAGACTACCATTAGTAAAAGTATTGTGGAAAAATCATGCTTTTCGAGAAAGCTACTTGGGAGCAAGAGGATGATGTGAGAATCCGATATCAACATCTTTTTCAAGGTATGAACTAGAATAAATAAATAAATAAATAAATTTTGAGGACAAAATTCTTTTAGGGGGTAGAGAGCCAAACACCCCCCTAAGTCAAACCCAACCTAGGATACTTAAAACCCAACTCCAAACTTGCTTATGGGTGTAACCAAACACCACCTTTCAGCTAAAAATAAAAATAAAAAAAATGCATAATTTTTTTTCTTTCACTTTCTCTTCCTTCTTCTCTCTAACTTTCTCTCATTTTCCTTTACTTTCTTGGTGGCCAAACATCCCTCCTTTGCTCCACCCTTACACCACCACCTCAACCCACCATCACCACCACTACCGGCCATCTCACCCTGCCAAGAAAAGCTCCAGTCGGCCATTTTTCTGCCTCTACAAAAGTAGCACCAAATCAAGCTCAAACTCTAGATTTTTCTTAATCTCTTCAAGAATCAAAGCTTTAGGTTTCATTTCATGATGGTTTAGAAACTTATATTTGGTAAAAATCTCTCTAAAAAGTTTTAGTTTAATTTTTTACATATATAGAGTTAGAGATGGTGATTTCTAGATTTATTATGATTTAGTTTTAGTTGTTGAGTTTTATACTTATATTTAGTTTCTATGGATGTTTTTGCATGTAGAAAAATCATTAATTTGATTATTGATTTTGAGATTGACATTTGGGTCAATCTAGGGGTTTGAATGTGACGTAAAAATTAGGAATTTGGGTGTTGGGAAATTTATATGTTAAAATTGATTTGATAGATAGTGGATTGGGTATCTCTATGTACTATAAATGATGTTAGAGGAATTTTATAATTTATTGAAATGGTTTTACCTAAGTTGATGGGTTATTGGAAATGTTGATATTTGATTTTTGTGGTTTAATTGGTGATGGTTGTAGTGGTTACCGCCACTTGTTACGGCCGCTATAGGTGTGTGACGGAAATTCATGTGTAATGGCCATTTCGGTGTTACGTAATGGCTATAACGGTCCGTTAGACACCGTTATACCCTTTACAATATTCAGAATCAAGAATTTAAAAAACGGCTGCAACCATTACGTAACGATTGTGGTGGTTACCGCCACCCGTTACGGTCGTTATAACAGTGTGATGGAAATTCACGTGTAACGGCCGTAGTGGTTCCGTAACAGCCGTAACGGTCTGTTAGATACCGTTACACCATTTTACAATATTTTGAATAGCTTCCTTTTTCAATAAATAAATAAATAAATAAAAATACAAAAGCACATAATAAAAAAAAAAGAACAAATACTCAAGTGATCCAAACCCAAAGAAAAAATCTTATACGGATTTTTTTTTCTTTATTTATTTATTTTTAAATTTGTGGCACAATTTTTATTTTATAATCCCTTCATTTAATAATTGTGAATATTTTTTATTCAATTAGTTCAGGTATTGGTAGAAAATAATTTGTAGACATTTAAAATCAATTATTCAAAAAATCATTAACTATTGAAATAAAATGTAAAAAGCTCCTTTTACAGTGATTTAAAAATATGAAATACATTGGATCATACTTCAAAATTAACCAAAATTGATCAAAATTTATTTTAAACCCCCATAAATATGATTCTGAAAAAAAAATGTGTATTGATAAGTTTTCTTCAAATTATGCGAAACATATAAAAAATAACGGTTCCGATTACCGCAACCGTTACACTATAGCCTTTACACCCCGCGACCGCTACCACATCACCGCAACTGTTACGGCAACCGCACCCGCCTTTCAAAACCTTGTTTACAACTAATTAAATAAACTTATTTACAATTAAGTATCAAATGAAATAATTATAAAAATAAAAATTGTGTCATGAACAAAAATTATTTTTGAACTACTGATTTTATTTATTTTTTAAATAGATTTTTTAGACAACACATTAACAAAATAAAAAATATTAATTAAAATTATTATAAAAATAAATGCAACCACTATTTATATATTTTTCATTTTACATGTTAATGTAATGAAATAAAAAAATTTTAAAAAAAATTATATATAAAAAAATTCATATAAGATTTTTTCTTTTGGTTTAGATCACTTAAGTATTTGTTCTTTTTTTGTAAGCTTTTATTATTTTTTTTTTTTGAAAAAAAACTATTTAGAATATTGTAAAATAGTGTAACAGTGTGTCACGGATCGTTATAGCCGTTACGGTAACGCTACGGCCGTTACGTAACACCAAAACGACCGTAACACATGTGAATTTCTGTCACACTGCTATAGCGGCCGTAACGGGTGGCGGTAACCATCACAACCGTTACGTAACGGTGTTTCGTAACAGTTGCTGCCGCTTTTTAAAACTTCGAGTGGAAATGAAAAATAATTTGTGAACTAAAGTGAGAATATTTTCTTAAGAACAAAATAGTAAGAAATAAGAGTTATTTACAGCAAGACCCCTAAACTATTAACTCCCTAAACTATAAAAACACACAAATAAACCTCTAAATTATTGAGAAGTAAACCCCTAAACTATAAAAGACTACAAATAGACCTCTGAACTATTGGTGTGTTTCACTGTGATCCCTTCCATCAGGGGGTCCAATTTGTACAAGGGTCTATTTGTACGATTTTATAGTTTAAAACACAAAATGATATTTCTCAATAATTTAAAAGGTCTATTTATATGATTTTATAATTTAAAAAGTCAAAATGATATTTCTTAATAATTTAAAGATACTCCATGTAACTAGTCCTTAAGAAATAACTCACACTTAAAAAGAGTGAAAGCGTAATTTACCCAATAAATAATAAAAAATGGAACTAAATCAAAGAAGCATATTTAAAAATGTAATGGTAGATATCTAAAAGATTTATCAAAATTTTTAGTCAATCTTGACTTTTGAGAAATTACGTTAATCCCTGTCATTGTAATTATTTAAACAAAATAAAAACATTAAACTCATGCTCTCTCTCATATTAGACCCACATGGTGTCAGTGTCACACGCTGATATGACACATTTGGTAAATGTTTTAATAAATTGTTTGACATGTCGAAATTTTCCATGTTAAAAAAGTAGGAGTAATTTATTACCCAATTGCTGGATTTGGGAAAGTGAAACCTGCTAAATTGCCTACTTCCTTCAAAGCTTTCTTCCAACTCTGAACCTTCTCCATCTCCATCTCCATCTCAAGCTTAGAAACCAATTCATCAAATCGTTTCCCAAAATTCCCCTTTTGTTTTCGCACTTCCGATGGATCCACACGGTAAAAAACTGGATAAACGATTTGCCCCCTCGCATCATTGCATTCACGTATCCTCACAAGTTCATCCAAGCACCAACTTGACGAAGCATAGTTTTCCGATATGATGACAATCGAAAACATTGATTCGTCAATAGCTTTGAGGAGTTCTGGCGAATTTTTTTTCCCTCTTTGGAGCTCTTTATCGTCTATGAAGGTGTTGATTCCCTTTCGATTCAACTCTTTATAGAGATGACTGAGGAAATTGTCGCGAGTGTCTTCGCCTCTGAAGCTCAAAAACACATCGTATGTCCATTGAACAGGATGAGAAGACGAAGATGATGATGATGATGATCTAATATAGGAATTGGATCTTTGGAAAGGCACCAAAGCCATTGTGAACTTGAGAGTGAAAACTTGTAGTGTAAATTGGAAATTTTTTTAGATGATCTGGATGAGTGTTTTCTCGTGTTTTATATTAGGAATATTTGCGTTATTTGCAAACATTTTGGTCGTTTTTTTTAAGAGTATTACGAGGACTTTTTAGATTCTCCCCGAGGCGCACATAGTAGATGCCGCCTTGTCTGTCAATATGTCATTTTAATAAATTTTTAATTTTTTAATTAAAAAATGAGATTAAAAAATTTATATGTTTAAAATGATTTTTTAATTTTTTATGAGCAAGTTGTAAAAAAAAAAAAAAAGTATTTAATTTTTTAATATAAAAAAAAAAAAAAAAGAGTATTTAATTTTTTAATATAGGTTATAAGTTTTTTGGTTTTTTTAATAATTTTTTGATTTTTAGACTAAAACTATTACTTCTTAAACGAATCAAACTTTTCGAGCTCGTTAGATTTGTCACGATTTTTGTTACAATAATTTAAACTGTTCAATGTGTATAGTTTGTTGAGTAATTTTATTCTTATAAAAAATCATATTAATCAGTTATCGATAACTATTTGATTGCATCAAATTGCTGTCAACAATTTATTTTGAAAACCAATTTTACCGTTGACTGAAATATGTTTTGATTAAGTGGCTATCCATATCCGGTTAACATAATTTTTTGTAGGGATGAAATACTCAACGAGTTTTACACACTAAACGATTTGGATTATCGAAAAAGAACCCATGATGGGCCATCACGGGCCCAACAACACATTCCAATTTGATTTCGGACCGAAGGGAATCCTATCCCAAATTACAAATATAGGTTGTTTAAAATAGCGATTTGTTATTTATAGTTTTGGAGATTAAATTTTGCTATTTGAAATTTTTAATTTCATAATAATGGTCATTTTTATTACTAATAAATTATCAAATCAATTAATAGTTGTTGATGAAATTAGAAAATTATTTTAATTAATAATTTATATAATTTTATCATTATATAGGAGAGCAGCTAAAATTTTATTTTTTTCAACTAATTCTATTAAATAAAAAAATTCTAATAAATTTTTTTTGTAATTTTTCAAATCACAATAAATAATTCATATTTTGAACAAATATCAAAGACATATTTATAATTTATTATTATTATTATTATTATTTAATATAATACCCCGTTTTGCAAGTAGTTTTATCGTCTTCTTAACTTTCATGAATTTTAGGCCTCGTTTGGGAATAGGCTAATTTAGTAACTTTTTGGCTATTTGGCTAAAATATGAGCTAAAAAAAATTAGTATGTTTGGGATGACTTTTTGACTTTTTACGAAAAGATGTGCAAAAAATAGAGAGAAAAGAAAATCTTTGACTTTTTGGTATGGGTTGTTGGCTTTTTGGACGTAGTTTAATGTAATCAATCGTCTCTTTTGGGAAGCCAGTTAAAAGTAATCCATTTTGAATTATATTATCTCTCATATTTTTATGCATTTTCTCAAAAAAAAAAAAAAATTATTACAGTCAATAACTTAAAAAAATATTACAATCATTGCATACCTCATCCAAAGAAAGAAAGTTTAAAACTTTATCACATATTACAATCACAGCATGTCTTATCCACATAAATTATTATAATATGTGGTTATTAAAATATAAAAACAATTCAAGCCACCAAAACTATGAACAAAGCAGTAGTAAAGATTATATGCCTCTGTATTGTTACATCCATATCTGTTTTTGAAAACAAAAACCAACCAACATATATTATCTTTTTTATTTATTATTTTTAGAGTTAGATTTAAAAACTAAAATATATGGATAAATAATACATTTATTTTTTTCAATTCAAAAAATATATTTAAGTTGAAAACTCTTTTTCAACATAATATATTCAACAGAATATTTAAATTTTTTTTCAATTGAAAACACAAATAGAATATATAAACAAATTGAATACATAAAGTCTTACAAATTACTAGGGGTGCTCGGCGGTTTGACAGTTCGGTTGCGACCAAATGAACCTCAAATCCGCCATCCGTTCAAAACTAGGTGGATTGGAAAAAAAATCAATCTGCAACCGTCCGCTCGTCATCACGCATCCGTCCAAAATGCGGTGTATCGGTTCGGTTCGATCGGTTTAGTCGGATCGGTTCGGTCCAAAATCCCTCTTCACTAAAAATAAATTTCAAAAGATGTAGTTATAATTTATTATTATTATGTTTAATATAAACGAATTTTAGATGCACCTTATCATAATATATCTAAAAAATAAAATAAATTGGCTAAAATATTTATAAAAAAAATTAGTATGAAAAAAAATTATTTATATTTTTGTTTGTTTTTAGTGAATTAGATTAATAATTCCACCCCTACCCCATTACTAATAATCCAACAATTACTAATAATCCTACAAATTTGTTGGATTAATTATCCATTGGATTAATAATTCTAAACCAAAATGTTAAAACAAACGTGGAATAATTGAACCCACGGATTAATAATCCCAATCTCATGCTCTAATCCACCCAATCAAACATGCCCAAAATGTACAATATTTGCTTTCGTAATTGTTCTATCTTCAAATCACAAATGAACTAAATTGGGCAATAGTTTATCTTCTTATTTCTCACATATGTGATAGTGATATTGTTCCACCGTAACTTACCATACTGACCAATGAGTCCTAGAGAAGCCACAAAAAGCGCTTGAAGACCATAAGCTTCCTAAGCAAGCAGTGGCCCTTGTACGCATGGCCCTTGTACGCATGAAAAGAGTTAGGGTATTTTGTCAAACCACTTATATTGTGTTTGGTTGGAGAATTTGAGTAGGCATTTGGAAAGAAAAATGAAAAAGATAGGTAAAATGTGAATAAAATATATCTACATTTCACTTAATTTTACACATCTTTTTCTTTTCCCTTTCTAAATCCCTTCCTAAATCTTCCAACCAAACACATCATTAAAGACGTAATGGAGTTGAGTGGGACGTTACCTATCCATTGATGCCACAACTCAGACATAGCTTGGCTCCTAGCCATCGCTGCCCAATCCCTGTCCATCGCAATTTATATCCCTAATCTTCTTTTGGTTTTTTGGAATTAAATTGCGCAGAAAATCAAATCCTCAACAATATGCAAAACGAAACTAACATTTCCATGCCTTGTGGCTTCGAATTGGGCGATAGATAACCCTTAGCAATCAGATCATGTACCACAGTCACCACCTCCATTGCCACTAGTGTCCCAGAAAAACTAGTACCAAATAAAAACACTAAAATGTTTAACTTTCTCCACATTTTGATGTTATTATTTATGAATTGAAGCCATTATGTGTTGGAGTTGGTGGGAATGCTAATAAGCACACAATTAAATCATTATAAATTGTTACATTACTTATTTTATTTTCTACATATTTTTTTACAAAAAAATAATTAAAAAAAATACATTAAAATAATTAATTTTCAAACGAACCCTTAATATGATTTTTTTAGATACATAAAAGGATGAAATTAATTGTTGTGAGATAATATTTTTAAAAAATGATAAATATGTATATATATAATTATTTTAACAAAAAAATTGTCAGGGTGTTCTACATGTGTTGATTGGTATAGGCCTTGAGGAGTTTTGGGGAGGAGCTCTACCTATGCAATGACGGGCGCCCACAGGTGTGGCAAAATGGGGCAGCTTTTGGTTGGAGATTGCGGAAAACTACACATGCAACCAAGGGGCACTATATGTGCAGATGAATAATGTTTTAGAGTACTAAATTGGGAGCTTTAGAGCATCACTAATGATGTGACACAGTGGCCCCCACCAAAGTGATGTGATGTTTTAGCTTGAGTTTGTTTGTTTTTTTTTTTTTAAGCTCATTAGAGCTATTAGTAGTCCAAAAATTAGTGGGATGAATCACCACTCATGTGCAGCCTCAGGCTCTGAGGTGCAGCCTAGAGCGTTTCAGACCTTGAATTTTGTGCCCTCTCTTACAAAATTCGTCTGTCTCCCTTTGGTTGGAGACTATGGGAAACCGGAAGTGTCACCAAGGGGCACTGCACATGTAGAGGTAGCCACCACAGGTGCGGCCTAGCGCATTTTAGATCTTGAATTTTGTGCCCTCACTTACAAAAATTAAAATTTATGATTTATTTTAAGACAGGCAAAATCTTAAGTTTCTTTTTTTTGTTTTTTTCTTATTTTTTCAAAATAGTGTGGGAAGATTTTGGTGGGCGTGAAGAGAGATAGAGTTAATTGGATCGTCATAGTTGTAGTACAAGTATAAGCCAGAGATAGAGGAGAGATTGCAATTTCGACAAGAGTGGCTGAAGCAAAAGTGAGAATCGGAGATGAGATGGAGCCAATTCATGGAGATTGACTTGAAAGTGATTAGGGATGTGATGACCAATTTTGTTGTATGTCTTTTCACTCTTTGTCTTCATTGGATTCGTTGCGTTCGGAAGTTTTTCTCAAATTTATGTCCTTGTTTATTCTAGGTTGAGTGTCACTTGTTTCGGAGGATGCACGGTCGAATCCGGAGTGTCTGGAATCGAACCGAAAAAATTTTGGGCTGGAGGACCAGGGCCACGCGTGCGGGACCTTGGGCCGCACGTGCAATGAACTAGGGTTTTTCAGCTTGCACACTGCATTATATACAGGTGCGGAGTGAGGTGCGGGGAGGGACCACCGCACATACAAGGGATGAAGGCCACACGTACGGAAAGACGCTTCGCACGTGCAGGAGAGGGCGCCGCACGTACAGGCCTCTGTACAGTCCGAAAATCTGCTTTTCTCCTTCTTTGGGCTGTTTGTATATCACTTTTGTTGCATTTCTCTCTCTCTCTAAAAACTCTTTTCTCTCCCTTCTCTCTACATTTTCTACATCAAAACAAGATCAAATCCTTGATCTTTTTATATCCATTGGAAATTTGCCCATAGCTTCTTCATCAAAGTTGAAGAGCCCATCAAGAGCTACATTGTGTACGGTGGAGATTGGGTTTTGGCACTATTGATTTCAAGGGTTTCATCTCTTTTTCTTCTTCAAAACTTAAGGTGGGGACTTCTTTGAGTTATATATACTTGTTTATGCAAGGTTGATGTTGATTTTGAAATTTCTTAAAGATATTATAAAAGTTTTGGTTTTTGACTCAAGAAATTAGTGGCTTGTTAAAGAAATTCATCTTTTGTTTCTTTGAAAGATTATCT